TTGAGGGACAGATATTTACTACTTAGGATGAGGCCATTAAGTCTTTTTCACTTCATCGGAGGTACTTGAGCAGTAACGATTACTTACCAACCCGATCTCCTTTTTTCTAATTTATTTGTTGTATGTGCATTGCTGTTTGGCCTGCATGTATGCCTGTGTGAGGGTGTCAGATCCCCTGAACTGGAGTTACAAACAGTTGTGAGCTGGTACGTGGGTGCTGGGAATTGAACTCAGGACCTCTAGAGGAGCAGCCCGAGCTCTAACCACTGAGCCATCTCTCCAGCCCTTACAACTTCATCTTATGACTTCATTTTTGTTCTCTTTAGTAGGGAGAGACTATTTTCTCAAAGACGGGATTAAAAAAAGAAGAGAAATATGACATATTTCTGAGAAGACAAAATGGGCAGAGTTTCCTCATCCTACTGATGATAACCCCAAACCCAATGTCATCTACACAACAAACTAAATAGACTCAGAAAGAGCAGTGGTGGTGGTGGTGGTGGGGAATGGGACGGGTAGACCAGTTGGACTGTGGGACTCAAAGGCTATCAGAGCAGCAAAGTCCGCAAGTTTTCTTCTTGTTTCATGGATCTCAGATTGTAGAGACGTCCATTGGCGCCAACCACACACTTCAAACAAAGAAACAAACAAAAAGACTGCTTTTCCCAACTGCAGGAGCAGGAGAGGAACAGCCTAGAAAGGCGGACACACCTTGGAACGCCTGAAGCACCACAGGGGGGACAAAGTGTCTCTACTCCTATCAGACAAGGAAGAGCCAAATGGAAACTGAAATTCCGTCTTCCTCAGGCTAACCTGCAGCACCTCAGAGTTCCCAACAGCACGGGATAAGAGAAATCTAGGCTGGGGGTTAGGACTTGCTTTTCCCTTTTGGCAGCAGTGAGCTCCCTCCATGCTGGAATCTGGAGGTACCTGCCCCTCCCACTATGGTGGTTTTCCAGAAGGCCTGCTGGGGCGGGGCAAGCTCCTCAGTACTGCCTAGAGAAACAAGACCTAAGAGGAGGACTTACGGCTTTGAATTATTTCCCAGAGGCTGCACCCCACCTGCCAGGTGAGGGCTGGCAGCTGTTGGCTCGCTCTTTCTTTTCTATTCCGATCCGGGTCTTCCTGGTTCTTGGTATGACTGATAATTGTGTTGATGTTGGAGTGAGGGCATTTGGAGTATTGGGTTGTTTTAGCTAGCTTCACTGATACTGTACTAGAAAGATGGGTCATGGCATACAATTCAATGAACTGTTACAGACATATTTGAAACAAACAAACATTGATAGAAACAAAGTTTTGGGGAAAAAAAATAAAAGTTATGAGAAAGAATCAAATGGAAATTTTAGAACAAGGTAAGAGAGAGTCCTTAGATGAACTCATCTTCTAACAGGTGAATGCAAAACACAAAAGAATCAGCCGGGCAGTGGTGGCACATACCTTTCATTCCAGAACTTGGGAGGAAGAGGCAGGCAAACGTCTGTGAGTTCGAGGCCAGCCTGGTCTACAGAAAGTGTGAGTGCCAAGACAGGCTCCAAGCTACACAGGGAAACCCTGTCTAAACATACAAACACACAAAAAACCAAACCAAACAACAAAAAAAGCCAACATGCCTAACCCACAGGCTATACAACCAATTTGAACAAGCAGCCGGGCGGTGGTGGCGCACGCCTTTAATCCCAGCACTCAGGAGGTAGAGGCAGGCGGATCTCTGTGAGTTCGAGGCCAGCCTGGTCTACAAGAGCTAGTTCCAGGACAGGAACCAAAAACTACGGAGAAACCCTGTCTCGAAAAATCCAAAAAACCCAACAACAACAACAACAACAACAACAACAAAACAAGCAATGCTGGCCCACAAAGAAGACGGGCTTCTAAAGTGAATATGCTTCTGATCCCTGCAACGTGCATTGACCATACAGCACACGCCAGCAACCCACGGGGGCAGAGACATACTGTAATAGAACTCGGACACGGCCTGCTTCTCCACCCAATTCCTGATTTGTCGCCTCCTTTTTGTTCTGTTTTACTGTATTTCTGAGTTATGTCGTATTATTTCAACACCCTTTGTTTTTATATATATTCCTCTTCTTGCTTCTATCTAATTTTCTTCCATATTTTTTTCTCTTTTTACGAATATGATTTTGTTTTGGTGCCGGTGCTGCCCCAGTGGTTTGTTCTCCCCTGGGAACTGGGTCCTCAAGAAAAATCCAGTCACTCAGAAAATGCCTGCGAATATCTAGAAAGGAGATGCAAAACAACAGAGGCACAAATCACAATTTTTATGGACATAAAAATATGAAGAATAAGTCAACATGACTTTTCAACAGTTCATGACTCTTCAATATCCAAAACTATAGAATGATTCAAATGTTATAGGAAAACTTTCAACATCTAGATTTAAAAATGATCATTGAGCCGGGCGATGGTGGCGCACGCCTTTAATCCCAGCACTCGGGAGGCAGAGGCAGGCGGATCTCTGTGAGTTCGAGACCAGCCTGGTCTACAGAGCTAGTTCCAGGACGAGCTCCAAAGCCACAGAGAAACCCTGTCTCGAAAAACCAAAAAAAAAAAAAAAAAAAAAAAAAATGATCATTGACCTTAATTAAGATGAATTAAATAAAGAAGTCAATGCAAGACTTGGATGAGAAGTTCAATGTATTTTAGGTGAAAAAAAATCACACATACACACAAGTGAAACAAAAACTCAACAGGCAGACAAAAACAATGTGAGGGAACGAAGACAAGGGCCACGAATTCTTCATGTAGTAATAGGGAAAAGACATACGACTAGTCCATTCGTGACTTCTGGCTCACATTTAAGAGACTGAACCTGCAAATGCAGATCTGTTACAGAGGAGGGAACTAACATACAGGGTAAAGGCACAGAAAATACACTCAATGAAATTACAGTACAGAACTCTGTGACTCGAACTAACGGGCAACCAAGTGCAAGAGGCATTTAGAGCACAAGGCAGGCAAGACCAGAGAAGTCCCTTTTATGCATCATCTGACGCTAAATGCCGACAGAGAAGAGCAACAGAGGAAGCAGGCTGCATCAGAAGCGCCGAGATACCTCCAAAGGGATTTACCATCATAGAAGTAGAGGTCATTCCAAGAATACAGGAGGTCACAGACAGAGCCGTGCACTTTAAGACCAGAAGGAAAAGAATTATTAATGAAGATTAATATATGCAGCATTCATCTTCAAAACTAAAGGAGAAATAAAGACCTTCCATGTGAAGTGTAGAGTAGAACAATCATGTGTGCTGTGCAATGTAACTGTGCACACATGGGATAAGCAAATGTAAAAAGTACACGTAAGTTCATATCTACGGTTAACTCCTCTAGTCCCAGCCTTTCGTTTTTATCAGTTAAGAGACAGAGACAGAGACCCACACGGGAGCTCCGGACAGAAATCTCAAGGTCCAAATCAGGAGCAGAAGGAGACGGAGCACGAGCAAGGAACTCAGGACCACGAGGGGTGCACCCACACACTAAGACAATGGGGATGTTCTATTGGGATCTCACCAAGGCCAGCTGGCCTAGGTCTGAAAAAGCATGGGATAAATCCGGACTAGCTGAACATAGCGGACAATGAGGAATACTGAGAATTCAAGAACAATTGCAGTGGGTTTTTGATCCTACTGCACGTACTGGCTTTGTGGGAGCCTAGGCAGTTTGAATGCTCACCTTACGAGACCTGGATAGAGGTGGGCAGTCCTTGGGCTTCCCACAGGTCAGGGAACCCTGATTGCTCTTCGAGCAGATGAGGGAGGGGGACTTGATCGGGGGAGGGGGAGGGAAATGGGTAGCGGTTGTGGGGACGAGGCAGAAATCCTTAATAAATAAATAAATTAAAAAAAAAAGAGAGACAAAGAAAGAGGGAAACTGTGACCTATGGAAGAGGCTGAGGTCGTTGGCAGTGGTTCAAGAACAGAGCAAGCACACTTTATCCCCAGGCCCCCGGGCTCTTTCTTTTCACTACTAGTCACAGTGTCTTATATTTTTATTGATTTCCCAAGATTTTCAGCTTGTAAGTGTCTCCTTAAGCATTTAGTGATTTGCCAAGCAACGCTGGCTGTTGTCCGTTGCGTAAGGCACACTTTTATCCAATCTTGCTTGTCAGGTGTGTAGAAAGAGCAGGCCCCGTTGAGAACAGTGGTGTCGAGCAAGTTTTTTTACAGGTGGAAGCCGTGAGGACGAGAGGGACTCTTAAATCGCCTTGGGCAAGCACAGACTGGGAAAAGCCTGTTGGCACCACCTAGTGGCGTAACTGAGAGGTTAGCCCCTTCATAGTCTTCAAACATGCATCCGGCCTCTCAGGCACTTTACTTCAGTAGAGTGGTAGGTTTTAAAACATGCTTGTTCTAATGAAGGGACTGACTTTTGGTTTAACTATAACCTTATCTCTCTTCATTAAGATATTTCTTCTTGCCTGAATAAGAAATTAATTGTAGTCATAACACAGAGTCTGCAAGATGGCTCAGTAGATAAAAACACTTGCTGAGCAAGCCTGATAGTCTGTGTTTGATCTCTGGAACCTGCATAAATATCGAAGGAGAAAACAGACCCCGCAAAGTTGCTCTCTGAACCTCCACATGCGTGTGTCACATGTCCCTTCCATCACACACACACACACACACACACACATACACACACACATACACACACATACACACACACATACACACACATACACACACATACACACACACATACACACACACTAATAATAAACAAAACAAAAAATTTAAACATTAAATTTAAACCACTTATTTGTTACACTTAATTCTTAGACCCGAGTAGCATGTATGATTCGTGTAAAATACACACACACTAATAATAGACAAAACAAAAAATTTAAACATTAAATTTAAACTACTTATTTGTTACACTTAATTCTTAGACCCGAGTAGCATGTATGATTCGTGTAAAATTAATCACTGGGTATCATGTACCTAAATCTACTAACAGGTTAAAAAAAAAAAAAAAGAACTCACCTCTTTGCTCCAGATTTCTTTGCTGAGTTGGGCATTATTCTATAAAAACATATTTGTGGTTATATTGACTCTATCTAATATGGACAGATCTGCAATTAGCACTAAGTGCACAATTTAATACTTTGAAGTGCCTTACGTATGTACATTTCTCTCAGTGAAATCGCCCTTGCCCTAACATCAAAGAAATTATCTGATCAGAACAAACCTATCGCTCCAGCTATTGAACACCCAAGTACTTAATTATGGGTACATTCACACCACCTAACAACTGTGCCTCTCTCATGAGGGACCACAAAGGGCGTGAATCATAAAATAATTTGTTTGCTCAAGCTGTTATTAACTGTGGGAACTGCTGGTCTTTAAAACCGGCCCACTGATCCCAGCTATTTCCAGACCGAGTTTGATGAGTAAGAACTCAAGCGCACACAGACGATCCTGAGCAGACAGGGCGGCGGGGACGGAAGCTTGATCAGTCGGCACAGGGAACCCAGATGAACAGGCTCCCAAAAGCGGCCGTGGAGGGGAATGGAGCAGGCAAGAGAAGGAAAACAAGATGGCACTGTGGCAAAAGGAAGAGCTGGGATGATGTTGGAACAGGCTGGACAGGTGTGACTGACACCTGTCACACTCAAGGAAAGATGAATTCAAGGGGGACCTATTTAAAAATTTCAACTGGAGGCTCATGACCTGAGTTTGATCCCCGAACCACATGGGGGAGAGAACTGAATCTTGAAATATGTCCTCTGATTGACACACAGATGCCATAGCAAGCATTGCCCCCCATACATAAGTAAATTAATGAATTTCAACCTATGAAAATCATTAAGCTTTCAGTCATCCCATGCTTGTGTGTCTCTCTAGATAGACATTATGTCGTTCTATGTAGTCCTGGCTGTCCTGAAGCTCTCTATGTAGACCAGGCTGGCTTTGAACTCACAGAGATCTACCTGCCTTTGACTTCCCGGCGCTGGGGACAAGAGTGTGCACTACCATGCCTGGCTCATGACTAAATTTTTAAACAATCAGTCATGTCTTTCAGTGTGGCGACTCAAGAGTTACTACAAAAACGTATGAATACAGCTCTTTCCCAGTGTTCTGGGATCAGAGATGAAGTCGAGTATCATAGTGTCATCCGTCAATCACACCAGGAATACTAAGTTCTTCATGTAAATCTTCACCAACAGCTTGAAGGCTTGCCATCTTTACAAGAGAAGACAACGAAACAATCCTCAGGATTATTATAATTATTTTTAAATATAATCCTGGCTGTTCTGGAACTCATTATGTACTTGAACTCAGAGATCTACCTGCCTCTGTCTTCCAAGCGCTGGGATTAAAGGTGTGTGCCACCATGATTGGTTATCCTCAGAATTCTTTAGTTTGACAGGTCCAAACTGAACATTAAAGGCAAGAGGGGGAAAGTGGGCTTTGGAGGGTATGCACAGGAGAACTTTCCCACTGCTTTCTTGAAGCTTCACGAAGCAGGGTGAGCAATACACTGTTTAGACCTGGCATTTTTGGTGTTTCGTTTTGGTGCTGGGGGTCAAATTCAGGGCTGGTGGATGCTAGGCAAGAGCTGTCACTGCATCTAGCCAGCTGCATGGCTGAGGCCTTGCTCCATCAGCTCACGAGTTCCGTTTCTTCCTCTGGAAGGTGGTGATTCTATGGTTTCCTATGGTCACTGAGAGAATTGAACCATATGCTGTGCACAGAGTGTTTACCATGCCTGCCTGACAGGAGATACCAAGAACAGTTCCTTTCCTTAATCCTTGTGAGTCAACATACCAGACATGCTTACTGAAGCAGCTGGTCCAGGCCTCAGAGTTCTTTCCCACACTTTGGTTTTATATGTACATTGCTTTGGGAAAAAAAACAAAACAAAACAAAACAAAAAAACACAAGTTTTTTTTTTCCCCCAAACAGCTTTCATATAAAATTCTTATTAGCCAGAGAATCTATTATTATGCATAATTATAACAAGTGGCTTTTGTGCCAGTGATGCATATTTTTAAATCCAATAATTACACAACAGGGAAACTTACTTGTTCCACGTCGAGTTGAACTTGCAAATTTCTTAGTTCGGAGCCAATGTCATAGAACTTTCTAAAGAGAAAGGGACGATTAAGTATGTAAGTTACAAAAATAGCACTTCTATCTTTAGGCTCAGTATCAAATATAAAACGGGGGTTCTAAAGATATTTGTATACCAGGACCCAAGAATATATTCCTGCTCCTATTAACATTTGCAAAGATAAAAAATAAATAAAGCATTTTTTAAAAAGGGGGAGGGGGTGGAGAGATGGCTCAGTGGTTAAGAGCACGGACTGTTATTCCAGAGGTCCTGGGTTCAATTCTCAGCAACCACATGGCAGCTCACAACTGTCTGTGACTGCAGGATCTGACACCTTCACACAGACATGCATGCAGGCAGAACACAGATGCACATAAATAAAATTTTTTTGCAAAGATGTGTGAGTATAAGTGACAATTGCTAATGGTTTTACTCCAGATTCAGTACCTTGTCTGGTGTTATTATTGAGACAAGTCCCAAAACACAAAGAGCAAAAGTGTGTAGTTCAAGGATCTATGTAGAATATCACTTCTCACCTTTGGGAGACAAATGACCCTTTCATATCAGATATTCTGCATTATCAGTTATTCACACTGCAATTCATAACAGTAGCAAAATTACAGTTATGAAGTGGCAATGAAATAATGTTATTGTTGGGGGTCAGCACGGCGTGAGGAACTGTATTAAAGGGTCGCAGCGTTAGGAAGTTGAGAACCACTGGTGTAGAATATACTTACATTGGTAGTTCCTGCTGACAGACACCCACGCAATACTGTGCTGACAAGCTTAATAAAAATAAAAGAAGCTGGTGTATTGTTAAATGGCAAGCTTCATGGCAATATACAAAGAAACAACACAATGTAATTTCTTAAAAACATTTAAAATGTGAAGTACTAGCTTTAGATAAAAATAGTACCGAACTGTGTATATTAGAAGTATATATAACTTTGCCATTTAAAATTTATTTCCCTTATTAAGTTATGAATGGATTTTTGTGTTCTTCTCTTAAATAAGTTCTATAAAAAGAAATTAGGGGCTGGAGAGGTGGCTCAGAGGTTAAGAGCACCGACTGTTCTTCCAGAAGTCCTAATTTCAATTCCCAGCAACCACATGGTGGCTCACAACCATCTGTAATGAGATCTGGTGCCCTCTACTGGCCTATAGGATATATGTAGGCAGAATACTGTATACATAATAAATAAATCTTATTTAAAAAATGAGTCCTGCCATTTTGGGCACTTTGTGTATGCTTCCTGTTAGCTAAGCTACTTTTGTCCATTGATACTCACCTAACATTGCTCTGCTTATTTAAACACTCAGTATTGGGCATTGCGGTGGCTTTGAATAGGAATCCCCACAGGTTCCTATATTTGAATGCTTAGCCTTAGGAGGTGTGGCCTTGTTGGAAGGAGTGTATCCCTGGGCTTTAGGGTTTCAAAAACCTAAGCTAGACCCAGCGCCTTCTCTCTTCCTGTTGCCTGCATCTGGATGTAGAACTCTCAGCTGCCTCTCCTGTCTGCCTGCGTGCCACCATGCTTCCCGCCATGTTGATAACGATCTAAATGTCTGTTGTTAGCCAGCCCCAATGAAATATTTTCCTTTATAGGAGTTGCTGTGGTCACGGTGTCTCTTCTAGCATAGAACACTGACTAAGGCAGGCACGTCTCACAATATAGAACATTTGGGGTTGCCTGTTTCTGGCATGTTCACCGAAGCCAACGAGCCAGGAGGAAGAGCTGGGAGGAAACCACGTTCCTCACGTGCAGCACAGTTGAGACGCTCTTACACTGCTCTCTTTTCCAGCTCAGGGGACAAACAGCGTGAGCGCAGGAACGTCCATATGTCGGGCCGGGGAAGAGGATGAGTCTAGGGAAGAAGCCCAGGTGCAACCACTGGCACATGCAAGGGATTCTAAGGCGATGAAAACGTAGAGGATTTTAAAAATTTTATCTTCTTTTTTCTCCGATTTTTTAAAAATTATTTATTATTTATACAGTGTTCTGTCTGCATGCCAGAAGAGGGAACTAGATCAAATTACAGATGGTTGTGAGCCACCATATGGTTGCTGGGAATCGAACTCAGGACCTCTGGAAGAGCAGCCAGTGCTCTTAACCTCTGAGCCATCTCTCCAGCCCCCTTCTCTGAAAATTTTTAATTAATTTTTTCATTTATTTTACATACAGAGCAGTTTCCCCTTCCTTCTCTCCTCCCATTCCCTCACCCACCTCCCATCCCCACCCCCATCCACTCCTCCACAGTCTCTGGTAAGAAAGGGACAGGCCTCTCATGGGCTTGAACATCAAGCTGAGGCAGGACCAAGCTCCTCCTGTATCAAGGCTGTGTAAGGCAATCCGGCATGGGGGAATGGGTTCCCAAAAGCCAGCTCAAGCACCTGATCCCACTGCTAGGAGACACAGACAGATGGAACTATCCAACTGTCGCACACATGCAGAGGGCCCAGGTTGGTCCTACGCGGGGTCCCTAGCTGTTGGTCTGGAGTCCGAGAGCGCCCAGGTGCTCAGCTCAGCTGTCTCTGTGGGCTCCCCTCTCATGGCCTTTATTTTCATGTTCAACAGTTTACTAGCATACAATGCGCTGTGGCCGCATTCACCTTCTACCCCGCTCTCTCATCTCCGGCTCATATTCGCTAACCCCTTCTTCCCAGTTAACTCTTCTTCTACCCCCAGTGTCCTTCGCTCTGCTTCCTTTCCGCCCCCCTTCTTTCCAGGCCCCATGCAGGCTGTTGCAGTTGCTGTGGGCTCTTGGTTGCAGTAGACCATTATGGCATTTAGAAGAAAGTACCCCAACACGCTTTCCCCCATCATTTCATCCCCTAGTCCTTCCATCTCCTCTTCCACCGTGTTCCCTGGACCTCAGAAGGGGTGACACAGATGTCGTATATGAGACACTCAGTAGTCGCTTATTCTCAGCACGTTGCTCTGTTATGTTTTCTTCTTCGGTCATTTGTCCACGGCCCGTGAGCTTTTGCTGCAAGAATTTGCTTTTACACGCTGGTTCATTGGCAGACAATCTCTCTGGTCTGTTAAGTGAGGCACACTAAGGCTTCCTGCCTCTGTCTCCCAAGTGCTAAGATTAAAAGCTTGTTATGAGCATGGCCAGTTTTATGCAGCGCTGGGGATGGATCCTGGGGTCTTGAATATGTCAAGCAAGCATGCTATTAATTGCGCTAGACCTCTACGCTCTTGATTTTCTTTTTATAGCACCACAGCCAATATTACATCTGCTACTTGTTAGTGTTAGATCCCTTTGACTAGGATGAGTTTTGCTACTAAAAGTTATGGCTTTAATTTGCTTACTCACATTAACATTAATGCCTAGACATAGAAGAAGATGTCTTAACTTGTGTTCCTATTGCTGTGAAGAGGCCCAATGGCAAGGGAGACTCTGGGGAGGAGCTGAGAGGTCTACGTTTGGATTCACAGGCAGCAGGAAGAGAGCATGAGCCACTGGGCCTGGCTTGAACTTCTGAAACCTCAAAGCCTACCCTCCTTTGACATACTTCCTCCAACAAGGCCACACCTCCTAATAGTGCCACTCCCCATGAGCCTATGAGGGGGGGCATTTTTATTCATACCAGCACAGACTGTTTCAATTAAGTATCAGGAGAAGGGAGAAACCAGCAAGGGGCCAGCTGGTGGGGGACTTGGAATACTATGCCCAAGTTTGCACATTACTGTCTAGCCCCATCGGTACTCATTTCTGAGTTGATATTCTCCAGAAATTCTTTTCAACCTTTCCCTCTCTAATAGGGACATATTAAAATACTTAACCTGGGAGAAAAACAAAGGAAACCAAGAGATACTCATTAAAGCAACAAATATTCATCAAGTACCTATTTTTTTTTGCCAGCTTCTGGAAATACACCAAAGACCACCAGGACTGGTGTATGCTCACAGAGCTCTCGGTGGAGCAAAGAGAAGACAGTGAAGCACCAGGGGCAAGTCAAGGGAGAAGAGGCAGGCTGTGTCGGAGGCTGGGACGCTTGGGCAGATACCTGAGAGGGGAGTCAGGCATGCACAAAGGGCAAAGGGAACTGAACAAAGGTGCTTCACTGGGCTGGACCTCTAGATAACTCTGTCTTCTAGGTGTTTATAAATGAGGTGGCGAGAGACTGTACAGGCATTTGAGGTCATTAAAAAGGGTGTGTGCCTCCAGGGAAAAGACCACCGGTTACACTGGAGACTGTCGGTCTCTTGAAAAGGAGACGAAAGATAAGGAATGTGGGCTCACGTGGCCTGCATGTCCTCAGGGAGCTGACAGGATGCAAGTGGAGCATGTGGAGCATGAGAAGAGCCTGGCTGAGCCTTGCAAACTGGTGGCCAAGTAATGAGGCAGAACTAAAACAAGGACAGGGAGTGAGGGGGTTTGGTGCTCGAAGAGGCCCTTGAAGATTAACCTGAAGAATTTATCTTGATCTTGAAGAGGATTTAGAGACAATGAAAATAAAAATGTCAGAAAATAACCTATCGAAAGACAAATTGATTGAGGAAGCACCATGGACAAAGCCTCTGTGTTCATGGAAGCTGTACAGAAAGAAGACACGTGTGTGTGTGTGTGTGGGGGGGGGGTGGACACCGGGCACCTGGGCAGGAAAGCTAGCCCACCACGAAGGATGCCCAGAAAAGCATTTTGAATGAAGGCAGAAGGTTTTACATAGTGTGTGAAAGCAGTCAAAGAACCTGGGATTTCTTCTTTAATTTCCCATCCTTGAGTCTACACTGAAAAGACGCTCCAAAGACGTCAACAGATTCTGCCCTCTCTGCAGCTAAGCTTTGCTAGCCTACTAGGTGTGTGGCATACGGTGTGGGAGTGTCTTGTGTGTGCCTAGGGAGGCCCACAGTGAACTTTGGGCACCCTCCTCCGCTGCTCTCCACCTCAGGTTTTTGTGGTTTGAGACAGGTTCTCTTCCTGGATTTGCTGCTGTCCAGTCTGGCCTGCCAGTGAGCGCTGGGGTATCCATCCGTCTCCACCCCCCCTGCCGTGGATATCAGATGCTTGCTTCCATGCCCGGCATTTATGTGGGTGCTGGGGAATCCGAACTCAGCTCCTAATTCCTGTATAGCAAGCACTTTCCTCTCCCCAGTGAGTCTTTTGGGTTTTAAAACATTTCATTTGTTTACCAAACATTTTGTAATGATCAGAATTACTTAAAACACAGTTCCTCCGAGCTTCCCCTTGGCATCTCAGGAGCAGCTTAGCTAAACCACCCACAGGCTGTGGAATAAATAACAGCAACAATAATAAATTGTAACAACAGTGAAGCAGAAGGCAGGCAGGAAGTATTTGTTACACGAAGGAATAGTTTGCTGGTTATTTATTTTAATAAAGTGGAGCAGACTTGGGGCTTTCTGATTATAATGTTCTTCCTATTGTTTTTAATTCTAATGTGCTTTCCTGACCAGCTAAAGGAAAAAGGGAGTGGGGAAGGCGCTCACCACAGGCATCAAGGGAATGTCTCAGGATCTACAGTTTAGCCTTTCTAGGCCTGAGGCTACCACACTGAAAACACTGGAATGTGAAACTCATCCGTTCTGTGTGTTCCGGGAAACAATATTTTCGAGCTACCGCCTTAAATAACCATCTCCAAACCCCCTCAGTTACTCTTTTTCCTTCTTTTATGTTCCTCTCTGAGTTACATCTAAACGTCTACACAGTAGTGTTATTTGTACATGATATCCACTTCAATGTACTGCTCATTTGGAAATTTAAAATAGTCAACTTATGAAGAGAATACGCTCAGTTCTCTATGCGTTTACTCCAC